GAATTTTCCCATTTCATTCAAATGTGATTAGGATTTTCACTTCCAATTGTTTTACTTTGGAAATTGTCTTTCTTGAGTTAACAGTTTTCAATCTTTTTTTGTCATTTCCAATTTCAACTCTTTTATTTCTAAAAATTTTCATTCCTGATTCAAGAGCTGAACTGTAAGTCAACCACATCAATTTCTGTTGGAAATTTTTTTCCAAGTCAAGGTGAGCACAAATCCAATCCTTAGTTGCAGGTTTGAAATTTTCATAAAACAGTTGTGTTAGAAGAAGGGCAGTCTTCAGGGCCTTGCTTTGAGATACATCATTTGATAGAAATTCCAGTAAGATTGATTGGATTTTTCCAAATTCTTTCCCTTCTGGAAACTTGTTTATATCCTTGATTATTCCGAGAACAGGAAAACTATTCTCATTGGAATGGAATGTCTCTTCAAAAACCCAATCCAACATCTCATGATGAAACTTCAAATAATCTTGGGAAGCGTTTAATTCTGGCCTTGACTTGATCAAAACTGATTGATTTATGAAGATAAGCCATTTTATCAATATTTGAAACTTGCTGTAGTACATTTCAGTTCTAGGGAACTTCATCCATCCCTTACTATCAGAACTTTCTTGCTGAATAGAAACCCTAGTCACATACAAATTCTTCTGATGGGACCATAGTATCTTTACTGGTAAAGTTCCTGAATATTTGTTATACCTTCCACTTCCAAACACCCTTTGATCAGAAAAAATATTTTTGAGTTCTTTTTTGAATTTCTTGGAATAATCTCTAAACATCTTCCTATCATCATTATTTATTTTGGGGAAACTTGCATTTTCAACCCACTCTTCAGGATTGACTGATTGATCAATGAGTTCTCTACTTCTTTTTTTGGTTTTATCTTCAAAAATTGATTCCTGGTTTCTAACTTTTTGGTTTTCCTCTGATGGGTTTTCATCAATTTGGGTTGGGATGCTTCTGTTGACATCAATTATATTTTTTACTATTTTTCCTTCATCTGATCTATTATAATAAGATGTTAAGTCTAACTGATCAACATGACCATTATCAAACACAGAGTCATTTTCATTATTTTGATCATATGGTGGGGCTACTTTTTTTGTGGCAGAATTTATTATGATTAATGATCAATTTTGGTTTGAAACAGGATGTGAATCTTCAGTATTCAATCTTTCACACTCACATTTGTCTTTGTGATCATCTGCAATTTGCAATCCATCCTTTGGTGAAATTGAATGATGCACTCCATCATGAGAGCTGTGGTTGACCTGGCTGGAAGAAGAATCTATGAACATTGGTTCTGTCACTGAAGTAACCATGGGGAATTCATTTTGGTATCAATTTCTGTAACTTCCAGTCAAGTAACAATCAGAATTCCAGTTGCCACACTGACCTATGTGATCTTGTCCCTCTCCAAGTTGTAAACCACTCTGTGACTTTGAATTATCAGAAGTTTGAGCAGGAATATGGTCTGTAATCTTGCTTGGAAATAAATTGATCAAGATTGGATCTGTTCAGAAGAGAGATTTAGTTTGTGTATGAAGTTACAAGCACAAATTGAAGTAGAATTCTCAGCAACTTGCCTCTACTTCTTTGATGAACTTGGAGATGCTCAAAAATCCATCCTGTCTGTGGCAGTGCATCTTGGGCTTCAAATGACAAAGGATGAATGGTATGTGATGTAGACCCTGTTCCA